CCCCTTATAGCCTTGCCTCCCTCCCTCCCAGGCCGTTTCCTCTCAAGACTGTCCTCAGGGCAGCGCAGGCTGGTGATATTCCTCGTCATGTCTGAGGCCTCGGTGGCAGAGGAAGGGTCAGCCTCCGCGTGACTCTCATTTCCCTGTCACTGGGAAAGTGTCTCAAGCCCTGTGTACATTGCACTGTCATGTTTCGGGCACCAGGACATGGCGGGAGGGGGCGGATGCCGCAGGATCCCAGGTACACAGCTCTCTATCAAGTTGGGTCACCTCCGGCAGCACCGAGGGTTCCGTCTGTGCCTTCGCCGCAGCTCCGACAACTCCGGGTTCCAGGCTTTCCATACCTGATCGCTAGCCCTGCTCTGGACCGGCATGCTGTCATCCCTGGGGCTATAATAAGAGCTAGATTTGGGGGGCAAAATGACCTGGGTCAAAAGTCTGACCGTTCATGTCTCTCTGAGGTTCATTTCCTTGTTTCTACAACGAGAATGGTAATGCCTCTCTCGTGTGACTGTCGTGAGAACAGTGCTTGGTGTACTCGATAAATGTTCTCGATAAATGATGGTGACTCTTATTGTTGTCACTGTGAGCCTGGCCCTGGGATGTGGCTTGGACCCTCGCCTCAGCCCTGTCCGTGGGAGAGAGGAAAGTGTTCCACCCACGTGGGATAACCTGCCTCCGGCAACCCCTGGCTGGTCCTCGAATGGCCAGACCCAGGATGGTGGCTTGGGGAAGGGGCCACCAGGGGCTATGACATTTGAAAGTGGGGGGCAGGGTTAAACCTTGCAGAGTGGTTACACCGGCACAGCTGGGCTGGCAGGAAGGCCACTCCTTCCGGCAGGTTGCCCAGGTGGTGGGGCAGCTTCAACTCCCGCAGAGGAGTAGGAGCAGACCCCTCGCTCCAGACCCCTGAGCCCCAAGCCAGTGCTGCCTGGCAGGCTACCGCCCCTGCCCAGCATCCTCAGAGCCAGGCCCTCCCCAGAGGCTGTAGGTCCCCACTGCCCAGCCCTGCCTCACCCCTCAGCCCCACCGCCACCCCTGCCTGTCCCAGGTGGCCCTGATGAAGCAGATGCGTGAGGAGCAGCAGCGGCGGCGGCTGGTGGAGACTAAGAGGAACCGGGAGATCGCTCAGCTCAAGAAGGAACAGCGGCGACAGGAGGTGAGGGGCAGCCCCTGGGGGCCGCCACCTCCCTGTGTGCCTGGCTGCCCCTCTGCTCCCACAACCCTAAGCAGTAACAGTCACACTTGCAGCAGGACATAGCCTAGCATGGGAGGGAACAAGCACAAGAGGCTTCTGGTCCACCCCCTCTAGTGCAGGGGGGTGGGGGGAGACTTGAGCCCCAGAGAGGGCAGGCCCTTGCCCAGGGTCTCCAGCAAGCCAGAGCTGGGACTGTGCAGCTCCCGGCCCTGAGCCCGCTGGTCCCAGGTTCCCTGCCGTGGTGTGGACGAGAGGCTGAGGGGATTCCCTGCACCGAGAGAACGGTCTGCACTGTGACCTCTGGGAAGGGGAGCCGAACTCGGGGTTCCATATTATCAATAAGTTTGGGCTGCACGAGAATCCGCCCAAAAGCCAGGCTTTTGCCTACAGAGATGGGCAGACCAGGCCGTGGAGCCTAAGTGCGGACCCCGACCCCCCTCTCTCACCCACAGTTTCAGATCCGAGCGCTGGAGTCCCAGAAGCGGCAGCAGGAAATGGTCCTAAGGAGGAAAACCCAGGAGGTGAGCGAGACGCCGCTCCCCTTCTCCTGAGTTCTTCCCGAGTCGGGAGGGACCAAGTCCCACCGGTGGCTCTGGCTCTGGCTTGTCACTCAGCACACAGTGGAGCAGAGCCTGTGTGAGGCCCGTTACGAGGGCCTTTCTCAACAAGGGGACTGAGGTATGAAGGCAGGGCTGCGGGCTCTGGTCCCAGAGGCCTGAGACCTTAATGAAAAAGGTTGAAGTCTCAGGTGTTCATTTCACATCAGAGAGCCCTTGGCTCTTTCTCAGTCCCAAGCTCAGGCGAGGATGGAGCAGCCCCTGTATCCGCCCCATCTGGCACCCCCCAATTTGGGCCTTTTCACCAGTTCCAGGGCGCCCCCGCTCACTGGGTTCCTCTTTTCTCGACCCCAGGTTTCCGCACTGAGGCGCCTGGCCAAGCCCATGTCTGAGCGGGTGGCTGGGCGTGCAGGACCGAAGCCGCCCATGCTGGACTCGGGGGCTGAGGTGTCAGCCAGCACCACGTCCTCCGAGGCTGAGTCAGGGGCCCGCTCTGTCTCCAGCATCGTGCGCCAGTGGAATCGCAAGATCAACCACTTCTTGGGGGACCACGCTGCACCTGCTGTCAACGGCACCCGCCCTGCCAGGTGAGGCGGACGGGCAGGGCCAGGGAGAGGCGAGCCCGGGGAAGTGGGGTCCTGTGACGGGTCCACATGGCTGTCAGCTCTGGGGTGGGGGGCATGCAGGGGCGTCCATGGAGCTGCAGAGGTTGAGAGTGCTCCTAACCAGGTGGGCAGGGCGATGGGGAAATAGGGAGTGGGAATTAAAATAAAATACAACAAAATGATTTTTAAAATGCATTTTCCCCCAAAAGAACATATTATTAACAGTGCTAAATGACCGAATACATACAGAAAACCTGAAAAAAAAAAAAAAAACTTTAAAAAGGGGAGTGCTCCCAACCAATTCCCTGTGCATCTGTCTCCCAGAAAGAAGTTCCAGAAGAAGGGGGCCAGCCAGAGCTTCAGTAAGGCTGCGAGGCTCAAGTGGCAGTCCCTGGAACGGAGGATCATTGACATCGTCATGCAGAGAATGACCATTGTCAACCTAGAGGCTGACATGGAGCGGCTCATCAAGGTGGGCCTGACCACAGGGAGCCCAGGGCTCCTGCCCCTGCTTCCTTGCCACCTCCTCTCCGCCAGTCCTCTGCCATTTCTGACGTCTCTGGCTCATCAGACCTCCTCATCCCCCTTCCACCCGCTCCTTGTGCCTGCTCTGGGATCCAGAGGTGCAGGGGGGCCTGAGGGAACGGTGGGCTGGGCAGCAACCCGAGGCTTGTCCATTACCCTCCCTGCAGAAAAGGGAGGAGCTGTTCCTCCTGCAGGAGGCGCTGCGGAGGAAGCGGGAGCGGCTGCAGGCCGAGAGCCCGGAGGAGGAGAAGGGCCTGCAGGAGCTGGCCGAGGAGATCGAGGTGCTGGCGGCCAACATTGACTATATCAACGACAGCATCACCGACTGCCAGGCCACCATCGTGCAGCTGGAGGAGACCAAGGTGCCCACGGGGCCTGGCCCGGCCGGGGTGGAGGCAGGAGGGATGTGGGGGCGGGGGGGGGGGGCAGCCTCGGTGACAAGGGGTCCCTGCCTCTCCATCCTAGGAGGAACTGGACTCCACGGACACATCCGTGGTCATCAGCTCCTGCTCCCTGGCCGAAGCCCGCCTCCTGCTGGACAACTTCCTCAAGGCGTCCATCGACAAGGTGGGCCAGCAGCTCACCTCCTGGGGTGGGGGGTGGGGGGCCTGCAGTCACAGGCGCCTCTGTCCTCTCCCCTCGTGGGGAAGCCCACGGGCCTGGCTCCTAAGCACGTCACTTACAGGCTAGAGCGACCTGCCTCACCTCCCAGCCTCTGATTCCGAAGCTCTAAAGCTGGGGCGGTGACCACAGGCTCCTCGCTTGCTCTCGCAAGGTGATGCATGCCGGTGGCTTGGCACAGTGCTTGTCACATAGCAGGGCCTCCCTTAGAAGTGACCCTACGTGTCTGGTCCAGGCCTGCCCCCAGCAGGGCTCGAGGGTGTTGGGAGAAGTGTGTATGTTGGGGCTGGGGCAGCGGGAAACAGACCACGTTCCACTCAGGAAGGTTTACACTGGAACCTCGGATGTCCTGGGCTCCTGTCCTCTCTCCCTGACAGCGGGCCAGAGGATGCGCCACCTTCCCGCTAGGGCCTGTTGTCTTTGGGGACAGACACCACATAGTATGCATGCAGCGTAACCGGCAAGGGGGCCGGGGAGACTCACCCCGTCCGGGGGAAGCTCCTGGCTCTGCTCCATGTTACAGGGGACTGTGTTATTCTGTCTGCTAGTGCCACCACAGACTGGGGGTCCAAACAGCACAGATTGATTTTCTCAGTTCCGAGCTAGAAGTCCGAGATTAAGGGTGTCAGCGGGACTGGTTGCTTCTGAGGCCTTTCTCCTCGGTTTGTAAAGGACTGCCTTCTCGCTTCACGCTGTGCTCCCTCTGTGTGTGCCTGTGTCCTAACTTCTTCGAAGGCCACCAGTGATATTGGATTAGGGCCAACCCTAAAAACCCCATTTTAGCATAATTACCTCTTTCAAGATTCTATTTCCAAATACAGTCACATTCTGAGGTACTGGAGGTTAGAGTGTCAACATAGGAATTTGGGAGGGTGGGGACACAGTTCATCCCATAACAAGGAAGTGTAGCCTAAGGCGACCTCCACTAACGTGTGGATGTGAGGAAAGTTAAGGAGGGTGGGGACCACGTCTCTGGTCTGGGGCAGGGACGAGGGTGATGTCGGGAAGTTAGCCCAGTTCTGGGACAGCTATGAGGGTGATGTGTGGGAGTTAGCCCGGCTCTGGGGCAGGTTCGAGGGTGATGTGTGGGAGTTAGCCCGGCTCTGGGGCAGGTTCGAGGGTGATGTTGGGAAGTTAGCCCGGCTCTGGGGCAGGTTCGAGGGTGATGTTGGGAAGTTAGCCCGGCTCTGGGGCAGGTTCGAGGGTGATGCTGGGGAGTCAGACCAGCTCTGGGGCAGGTTCGAGAGTGATGTGTGGGAGTTAGCCCGGCTCTGGGGCAGGTTCGAGGGTGATGTGTGGGAGTTAGCCCGGCTCTGGGGCAGGTTCGAGGGTGACGTCGGGGAGTTAGCCCGGCTCTGGGGCAGGTTCGAGGGTGA